TGTTTTTTTCCATTCTTTAATTGTTCTTTATTTTTTATTTTTGCAAGATTTTTTAAAACAAATTTATTGGAGTATAATTGCTTTACAATGGTGTGTTAGTTTCTGTGTATAACAAAGTGAATCAGCTCTATGAATACGTATATCCACATATCCCCACCCTCTTTTGCCTCCCTACCGCCCTCTCTATCCCTCGCTTCAAGGTGGTCACAAAGCACCGAGCTGATCTCCCTGTACGATGCAGCTGCTTTCCACTAGCTATCTATTTTACATTTGGGAGTGTATATATGTTAGTGCTACTGTCTCACTTTGTCCCAGCTTACTCTTCCCCCTCCCTATGTCCTCAAGTCCATTCTCTACATCTGCTTCTGTATTCCTGTCCTGCCCGTAGGTTCATCAGAACCATTTTGGGTTTTTTTAGATTCCATATATATGTGTTAGCATATGGAATTTATTTTTCTCTTTCTGACTTACTTCACTCTGTATGACAGACTCTAGGTCCATCCACCTCACTACAAATAATTCAATTTCATTTCTTCTTATAGCTGAGTAATATTGCATTGTATATATGTGCCACATCTTCTTCATCCATTCTTCATCTGTTGATGGACACTTAGGTTGCTTCCATTTCTTGGCTATTGTAAATATTGCTGCAATGAACATTGTGGTACATGACTCTTTTGGAATTATGGTTTTCTCAGGGTATATGCCCAGTAGGGGGATTGCTGTGTCATATGGTAGTTCTATTTTTAGTTTTATAAGGAACCGGCATACTGTTCTCCATAGTGGCTATATCAATTTACATTCCCACCAACAGTGCAAGAGGGTTCCCTTTTCTCCACACCCTCTCCAGCATTTATTGTTTGTAGATTTTTTGATGATGGCCATTCTGACTGGTGTGAGGTGATACCTTATTGTAGTTTTGATTTGCATTTCTGTAATGATTAGTGATGTTGAGTATTCTTTCATGTGTTTGTTGGCAATCTGTATATCTTCTTTGGAGAAATGTCTCTTTAGGTCTTCTGCCCATTTTTGAATTGGGTTGTTTGTTTTTTTGTTATTGAGTTACATGAGCTGCTTGTAAGTTTTGGAGAGTGATCCTTTGTCAGTTGCTTCATTTGCAAATATTTTCTCCCATTCTGAGGGTTGTCTTTTCCTCTTGTTTATGGTATCCTTTGATGTGCAAAAGCTTTTAAGTTTCATTAGGTCCCATTTGTTTATTTTTATTTCCATTTCTGTAGGAGGTGGTTCAAAAAGGATCTTGCTGTGATTTATGTCATAGAGTGTTCTGCCTATGTTTTCCTCTAAGAGTTTGATAGTGTCTGGCCTTACATTTAGGTCTTTAATCCATTTTGAGTTTATTGTTGTGTATGGTGTTAGGAAGTGTTCTAATTTCATTCTTTTACATGTAGCTGTAACCCTGACAGCTTCTTTTATATCTTTTTTTTTTTTTCTGGAGATTTTTACCAGGATCCCAAGTTTGCAGCTCATATTTGAGAACTTGATTGTGTGTTGTTGTGATTTCCTCCTCATAGCACCCTTCCCCCATAGCCTGGTTGTATAATACTCAATAGCATGTTCCAGTTTACCATTGGACGTTTGAATCCAAAGAAGTTGGAGAAAACACAAAAGCCCAACGTGATGACAGCAGCAAAAACATCTTTTTAAAGCTAAATGGCTTGATGAGGCATACTCTTTGGACCAGGAGATCAAATGTGGAGGGATAGATTTGTTATTTCCCTGCTTTCCTCCTAGCAGGCAGAATTGAATATAAACTCTGAGAAGGGTAGCATTTCCTTTGTCCTCTCCCTTGATGTGCTCAGGGCACAACCCTACATCAGATAATCAGCCTATAATTAGAATGAGGTGCTGGGCATTGGGATATTGAAATGAATGAGATGTAGCCTTGACTATCCAGTGAGGGCAAGTATGTTCCAGGCAGAGAAAACAATGTGAGCAAAATTCTGGAAGAATGGAAGAGAACAGAAGGCATGTGGAGGAGTGGGAGGTGGGAAGAGATTGCACTTGAGGGGTCAAGGCAAAGAACTGTGTAGTGCAGTGGGGCAGAGAGGGCAAAGTCTGATTGCTCTAAACTCTGAGAGGTCCCTCTACCTTACATGAGCTTATTTCATGTTCTCAAGCAGCCATGTGATTTGAGTCAAACAGGAACCTTTGAATTAGCCCCATTGTCTAAATGAGGAAACAGATTGTGATTAAGCTACTTCTGAAGGAAATGAGTTGACGGCAGCACTGGGCCCAGAACTGAAGTCTTTGAGGTTCTTACCTTAGAAATTTCCAAAGCAGCTGCTTTTTCCATTAAGGGATCATTATTTTGCTGTGGTTTGATGGTTTAGAGCATGGACTTTTGAGCAACTCTCTCTTGGATTCTGCCACTTTCGGCATATTACTTCCAATTTCTCTGACACTGGTTTGGGGACAAATAGCACTACATCCCTTATTGGGTTGTGAGTATTAATAGGAATATGTGGCACAGGATTTAGGGTACACAGTAATAATCAAGGTAATAACTATCACTATATGGAGCTTACAGTGTGATGTGTACTTTTGTAAACACTTTATATATGTTAACTTATATAATCCTTACCACAGCCAAATGAGGTTGGTAATGTTATCATCATTTTAAAGATGAGGAAACTGAGGAACAGAGAAGATGAGTTAACTGACAACAATCACCTTGGTGAGCATAGAGGTGTATTTTTTCAAGTTTTTTTTTTTTCTTGGTAGAGTGGCATCAAGTGGCATTTTATGGCAAGTACTTAAAACAGAATTGATAGAATTGGGTTGCTCCTAGCTGGTGCAGTGTGTAGACCAGATGCCACTGAGTAGTCCTCCTGGTCTGATCATTCTCAGCTTAGCAAGTTGTGCCTTTAAAAGTCATACTGGCCATCTTTGTATAGCATTGGCCCCTTTTATAGCGTTCTTTCACTTCATACATATTCAAAATGGACTATAGTACATCTTCCTGGCCTGCCTCAAGGTGGGGCATGGCCGACTGGTACCATGTTCAGCTTCCCATCCCTCCAACAGGAAAACCTTGCATGACCCCCACACTCTGAGGGATTCTTCTCCTAGCACTGGGCCTCCAGAAGTTCTGTGCTAGTATGTGGGCCCCTCAAGGAGGAGTGTTTACCAAAGTTCCAGGGAACCCCTGAGGTGTAGTCTGGAGTCACACTAGTATCTCTGAGCTTTCTTTTTTTTTTTTTTTTTAACATCTTTATTGGAGTATAATTGCTTTACAGTGGTGTGTTAGTTTCTGCTTTATAACAAAGTGAATCAGCTATACATATACATATGTCCCCATATCTCCTCCCTCTTGCATCTCCCTCCCACCCTCCCTATCCCACCCCTCTAGGTGGTCATAAAGCACCAAGCTGATCTCCCTGTGCTATGTGACTGCTTCCCACTAGCTATTTTACATTTGGTAGAGTATATATGTCCATGCCACTCTCTCACTTCATCCCAGCTTACCCTTCCCCCTCCCTGTGTCCTCAAGTTGAGCTTTCTTTTTGAGGTTGTATTATTAGAAAATATTTCCATTGAGCTCCCCTTTTTCTTTCCATCCCTTAGACTGAAAAAAAAGTGATATGCTCAAGAATACAATTTCCTGATACCCTTCTCTTTGGGCCACTGCCCTGCCTAGACTGTTTACCTCTGATTGTTTCTGGGGAGATGCGGGAACCCCCATCTCTAAAGTTGACTTGAAGCTTTTCAGTACAAGGCTGAGACCTTAGCATCAGAGTATCAGTGCTAAGACCTTAGAGATCATCCTCACATACCTCATTTAACAACTGGAAAACTGATACCCAGAGAGAGGAAGGGACTGACTCTCCAGTGACTTTTTGGCCTAGAGACAGTATAACGTAGTGGCAAAAGTGAGCACACTCTCTGGAGCTGCAGACTTGTGGTTGGATTGTGGATCTTTGGCTAACTAGCTGGGTGACTGTGGCTGATCACTTGACTTCTTTGTACCTCAGACTATAAAGATGACAGCAAGACTATCTACCTCCCAGGGCTACTGTGATGCTCAGAAGAGACAGAGTGATAGTATGTAGCACAATGTCTGATCCCTGTAGGTGCTCAATAAGTATTAATTCTCCTGAGTCAGGGGGCCACTTCTTTTTGTCCCCATGGTTTGCCTTGCATTCCATGAGTTCTGAGCATACCTATATTAGACTCCTTTGCTGACATGTAAGCTCCTCGATAACAGGGCCAAGTCTGGCTTGGCATCTGACATAGACCCCCACATATCAGAGTTCCCATAAATAAGAGGCCCTTGGAAACTCTGTAGAATAGAATTAGCTAGATGTTCGGTGTTTTTGGTGTGTGTGTCTGATTCTACATAGCAAGAAATATAAGCAAGTTATTCAGGCTTTCTGGATAACAGACCAAGGTGATGAAATTTCCTGTTTAATCAGTGATTTTAATGAACTGAGAAAGGAAGGAAAAACAATTTTGAGAGGGTGAATGGATTCTCTTTCTCTCCTTCAAACATCATCTCCTTCTTGTCCTTCCCTGTCTTGTTTTACTTGTCTGGGAAGCAGAGAGACTTCTAGCACCTGCTCAGGCTTTACTCTTCAGGTACAAGAAAGAGACTAAAAGTCTAGAACTAGGATGAAAGATCGGGGCAGAAAGAGAGATTTAGAGAAAAAGAGAGAGGGAGAATAAGAGAGAGAGAGACAGATAGACAGACACCTCATGGCAGCTGGTGCCTCTAGGGCCAGAGAGCAACTGGCAAAGAAGGACTATAGCAGTCCTGGGTAGTGGGGCTCATTTGGCCTCAGGGTAAACAAGAGTATGGGTCTTTATAGCTCATGGAGCCTTTCAGAGATTCCCAGAGGTCCCTCCCTCCATCCTTTCTTCCTCACCGGGCCCTTTCTGTCCTCCTCCTGTCCCAGCCTATGCCGAGCTCTAGGTGCCTCCAGGCAAGTGAAGGGGCCATCCCTCCTGCCTGGCTGCCTCTCACTATCACATGTCCTTCCCAGGGCGAGGACATCCTAGACAGGAGCTCGGAGCTGATCTACACTGGGGAGATGGCGTGGATCTACCAGCCCTACGGCCGCAACCAGCAACGGGTCTTCTTCCTGTTTGACCACCAGATGGTCCTCTGCAAGAAGGTAACCCCACCCCTTTCTTCCCTGAGGGATATGGGCACCCCAGGGGGCACCACACCCTTCCTCTCCATCATCCCCAGTTCCCAACAAAGTGGGCTAACCCTGCTGGGCAAAAACAAGACAATATATTGGCAGCAATTCCATATCAGGATCACTGGTATGGCATGAATATCACAAGCAGGGCTGGCTTATGGGCAGTGAAATTCTGAAATTGGTAAAGTTTGTGTTGGTATCTTTTATACACTTTTCCCTCCTGCCCTTCATGGCGATCTTTCTCACTCTTTTCGACCCAGAGCTGATAGCCTGCTGATTTGCACCAGTTGTGAAAAATATTGAAATATTTCTATCCCAGTTGGTGAATAAGTGGCTTCCCTGAGCACCTCCCCTCATTTCTACTCTAATGGCTTTGACCATCTGGCCCCTTACTGCCCTAGGAACCAACAAGGGACCTCCTACTTTACTCTTACAGGTAAGGTGCCTTACCTTTGTGATACAGGAATTTTCCCTGTTCCCCTACCCATTTCCTATACAAGTTGTGTCACATCCCTATAACTCTCAGCTGTGCTCTTCTTTACCCTCCCTTCTCTGTAATCCATTTGAGAAAAGGTCTTGCTCTTGTGATTAACTCAGCATGAGTGTTTGTTTCTTGGTATCTTCTCCTTGGCAGGCAGGAGGATGGCATATGTTCTCAGCCTGATTCCTCCTGATGGGATACTGTTTCCTCCACCTCCTCCCTTAGGATAGGGAGTTCAGATCACTTTTAGTTCCAGGGACTGGCTGGGGAGAATTTGGGACCAGGGAAAGTAAAAGAGGAGGGGAAAACCAAAGAATGCTTAAAGTGACTTTTTATTTATTTATTTATTTTGCGGTATGCGGGCCTCTCACTGTCGTGGCCTCTCCTGTTGCGGAGCACAGGCTCCGGACGCGCAGGCTCAGCAGGCTCAGCGGCCATGGATCACAGCCGCTCCGCAGCATGTGGGATCTTCCCGGACCAGGGCACGAATGCGCGTCCCCGCATCTGCAGGCGGACTCCCAACCACTGCGCCACCAGGGAAGCCCTAAAGTGACTTTTTAAATTCACCATCCTACCCTTGGCTCTTTCTCCATAAGCCATTCCCTTTGTTCTCTTCCTCACCAAGTAGCAAATACCTCTGAAAGGGAATACTAAATCATGAAGCACCAGGTTAAACACTGTCATCTTTTCCAGCGTGGAACAGGAACCACACATTTGTTTTTAAGCCCCCTGTTCTCTGTGTATACCACATCTTGCATTAAATCTCTGGCTATTTGCCTTTGACAGTGGATTGAGGGAACAAATTGAGTTTCAAGTCAAACTGCCTCAATATTTGAGAATAAGCTTTAAGTGCCAGCTCTAGAACTGATAGCTCACTAGTTAATGGAGAAAATTACTGCCTTGGTCTGGACCTGGCCCTGGAAGAGAGAACTTTTATGAATCTGGAAATTGGCCAAACACCCAGCCTTCTTATTATCTACCCCCAACTCTTCCTTAGACGTCCATCAAATCAGGAGGCAGGATTTTTGAGGGTTAACTTATGTAGCCAAGGAAATTCTCAGCATATCAGTCATGTCACCAATAGGCATGTGCTCATTCTTCCCACTGAGCCATGCTTACACTCAGAACAACCAGTTGTAGAGAGACACAGAAAAGAGATTAGGAAGCTGGTTTATTTTAGCGTTGCCCACCACTCACACCCTGTTAATTTAAGCATCTGTCAGCCAAGGCTGAGATTACTTTAAGGAAAATGTGAAACTCAGCTCTGCAAAGTAGTAGCTATAGGAGACACGGCCAGGAGCCAGAACACAAAATAGTGAGGCAAAGGCTAGAAATAAAGGGAAGAAACAACATGGACAGTGAGCTAATTTTAGGAGCCAGGGGACAGCAGAAAACTAAAATGAAATGAGAGTCAGCTCCAGGCCAGCTAGTAGAAGCCAGTGATTAAGGAGAAACCAGAAGCCAAGCCAGCCAAGCGGGCAGGGTGTAGCAGGCAAAAAGGATGACAAAAACAAGAGAAACCTTGAAGCTAGCATAGCTTTCTTCCAATGGGAGCCTTCTTGTTCTAGCAAGAACCATGGCCTCCCCTTCCAGAAAAAAGCTATCCATATACCTGGGCCTTCTTGACTCTGGTTTCTCAGAGCATGAGAAGCTACAGTTTGATTTTTCAAAGCCTATTAAAACTAAATCTGATGTTTGTGTTGAGGCTATGGTTGAGGATTTCTATTTGGTACCTGCAATAGGCCTTTCTATTCAGCAATAGGGAGTAAATTTTTTTTTTTCGGTACGCGGGCCTCCCACTGTTGTGACCTCTCCCGTTGCAGAGCACAGGCTCTGGACGCGCAGGCTCAGCGACCATTGCTCACGGTCCTAGCCGCTCCGCGGCATGTGGGATTTTCCTGGACCGGGGCACGAACCCGTGTCCCCTGCATCGACAGGTGGACTCTCAACCACCAGGGAAGCCCTGGGAGTAAACGTTTGAGAAATGACCATGGCACCAAAATAAGGTATAGAAAGAGACAAGGTCTTTGGTCTGCTGGATGGTTGAGGGACCTCTTGCCATTGCTATAAAAGCCTTTCCTCTTGAGGTAGAGCTGGAAGAAATGGATAAATCTTCCTGGATATGAAGAATCCTTTGGCAAAGGAAATCTACAGAGGAAAAGGGCCAGGACTAGAGCTGGGCGAGTAAGACACTCACCTCAGGCACAGAGTTAAAAAGGAGGCTCCAAAGCACAGTAATCCTTTTTACAGGGAAGAAAGGGGACAAGAAAGCTACGTAATCAAATGTGGCTGCATAAAGCTTTCTGATGAGTTCATATATAAAAAGGAGGACAAAACATGGGCCTGTAGCAAGTGGATATTCATATGTAATATTTTATATGTATAGGATATTTAATAGGAGTGACAAAGATTAGTTTCATGAATCTTACAATGAGTCAAAGTTAGTTTTTAAAGATTCTAAGACAATATCAATGATTTAAAAAGATCTTTTCAAAAAAAAGAAGAAAAAAGAAGTGATAGTCTGTAGTCTGGCAACTCTCTTCAAGGGACAAATAATTTACTATTAACACAGGAACTTAAAACCTCTCTGTCAAGGGAAAAAGAGACTGTAGTCTGGCAACTCCCTTCTAGGGACAAATAATTTCCTATTAACACAGGAACTTAAAACCTCTGTCAAGGGAAAAAGAGCATAAACCTGTTGAGGGGGAATTTAAACCTAAGGTATCTGAGGTTGTAAGAAAGCACTTCAGTGCTCTGAATTCATTCTTTCATGCTATAATTATTGAACCCCTGCTCTGTGCCAGTCAGCTCTGCCTTCTTAGAGCTTGTAGACTAATGGAATTTAAGTGTAATGTAATTTAAAAATACATACATCACTGGGCAATGAAATAATACTCAGATGTCCTCAGCAGAATTGCTGTAGGTAAACTCAACGGAGTAACGAGTTACAGGAGATCTATGACAACACTATAGATGGGAAAATGTACCAGTTTTCAAAATATAAAAGATTCTAGGAAATACAGATTGACAATAAAATAATAATGAATCAACATTTACTGTGCACCTCTATGATTCTGTTCTAAGGCCTTTACATTCATTAACTCAATTTAATCCTTACAACAAACCCATGACGTAGGTACTATTATTTTTCCCATTTTAAATATATGTAAAGTGAGGTACAGAGAAGTTATATAATTTGCCCAAGGTGATATTATGTCTAGTGAGCAATGGAGCCAGGAATTGCATCCAGGCAAGCTGACTCCAAATTCTTCATTAGTAACCTCTATGTCATTATTGTCATTGAGCTTGTCAGAATTCTATAATAGATACTTTTTAACATCTTTATTGGAGTATAAATGCTTTACAATGGTGTGTCAGTTTCTGCTGTATAACAAAGTGAATCAGCTATATGTATACATATATCCCCATATGGCCTCCCTCTTGTGTCTGCCTCCCACCCTCCCTATCCCACCCTTCTAGGGGGACACAAAACACCAAGCTGATCTCCCTGTGCAATGCAGCTGCTTCTCACTAGCTATCTATTTTACATTTGGTAATGTATATATGTCAATGCTACTCCCTCACTTCGTCCCAACTTACCTTTCCCACTCCCCGTGTCCTTAATTCCATTCTCTATGTCTGCGTCTTTATTCCTGTCCTGCCCCTAAGTTCTTCAGAACCGAATTTTTTTTTTTTCCACATATATGTGTTAGCCTACGGTATTTGTTTGCCTCTTTCTGACTTACTTCACTCTGTATGACAGTCCCTAAGTCCATCCACCTCACCGCAAATAACTCGATTTTGTTTCTTTCTATTGCTGAGTAATATGCCATTGTATATATGTGCCACATCTTCTTTATCCATTCATCTGTCGATGGACACTTACGTTGCTTCCATGTCCGGGCTATTGTAAATAGTGCGGCAATGAGAATTGTACTACATGACCCTTTTTGAATTATGGTTCTCTCAGAGTATATGCCCAGTAGTGGGATAGCTGGGTCATATGGTAGTAATATTTTCAGTTTTTTAAGGAACCTCCATACTGTTCTCCATAGTGGTTGTATCAATTTACAGTGCCACAAACAGTGCAAGAGGGTTGCCTTTTCTCCACATCCTCTCTAGCATTTATTGTTTGTAGATTTTTTGATGATGGCCATTCTGACGGGTGTGAGGTGATATCTCACTGTACTTTTGATTTGCATTTCTCTAACGATTAGTGATGTTGAGCATCCTTTCATATGTTTGTTGGCAATCTGTATATCTTCTTTGGAGAAATGTCTAGTTAGGTCTTCTGCCCATTTTTGGATTGGGTTGTTTTTTGATATTGAGATGCATGAGTAGCTTGTATATTTTGGAGGTTAATCCTTTGTCAGTTGCTTCATTTGCAAATATTTTCTCCCATTCTGAGGGTTGTCTTTTCATGTTGTTTATGGTTTCCTTTGCTGTGCAAAGCTTTTAAGATTCATTAGGTCCCACTTGTTTATTTTTA